CACCCACACACACACACACACACACATTGGGTCGAGGAGAGGCCCAGGGTGGCAAGGCAAGAGTGGCACCTTGCAAGACCCCCGCCCCCAACTTCTTTGGCCGCCGGCCCGTCTGGGTCTGCCTGCCCTGCCTTCCTGGTTGCTTCGATGGGGGGGGCCTCAGTTTGCAGGCCCCAAACGCGTGGCAGAGCCGCCGAGCGGAGGTTCCAGCGGGGAAGGGTCCTGCCCTCAGACCCTCGCTAATTATCTCCGACGGGCTGGAGTCTATATTTTATGTAATTAGATTGATTTAATGCCTGGGAACACCAACACAAGGGCTATAATTTAAGAGGGACGGGGCGAACACCCCTCTCTCCTCCCCCCCACCGCCCGGTCCCGGCAGCCCCTCCCCCACCCCCTCTCTCATTATCTCCTTAAGTGTTGTCAAACAGGCGGCGACGTCCAATAAGGGAAGGGGGGGGGACTGCAAACACGAGCGATGCCTGCCAGGGCCTTCGGCGCCCACTCTTCCAGAGACATTGTGCATTTGATGAGGATGAGGATGATTCAGTCCAATGAGATCTAGGAGACTAATAAAGGGGGGGGAGGACGGTCCCGACCCCCTCGCGTGAAGCCTCCGCTTCTGGCTTCAAAGCCAGGCCTCCCCCAGCGCAGGATGGAGCCCTCTCTCTCCTCTCCCACCTGCCTGGGATGCGAGGCGACAGGTGAGCGGCTCTCCCCGGCCGGCTCAGGGCCATCTGCTGCCAAACGGGAGAGCCGCTCGGAACAAAGGGAGCCCGTCGGGGCTAATTGCCGGTTTCAGGTGCTGGCCCCGTCTGGTCGCCTGTCTGCCTCCAGCCCAGGGGATAAGGAGGGGGGGGGTGGGGGGATACGAGACCCCTGGCCTGGACCGACCCTCGGCGTGGGGTGGGGGTGGGGGCACCAAGGGCACCCGCTCTGGCCTGACGCCGACGGAAGGGTAACGCCCCCCCCCCCCCCAACCTGGGCAGTTGCCGTGTTCCGGCTTCCTCCTGCGGAGGGCCCGGCGCGTAAACCGGGGCCTTCTTCACGGCCGAACCCGAGAAATCGCCGCGCGCCCGTCCAATGCCAAGAGCAGGGAAGGGGGGGGTCTGGAAAGCGCCCCAAGTTCGGGAGAGGGGGGTGGGTCAGCAGCAGCAGCAGGAGGAAGAGGAGGAGGAGGAGGAGGAGGAGGGCTTCTTTCCCAGATCCCAGCGACGGACTGGGCCGGACTGCCACTCGCGGGGCCTTCTCTTCTCCCCGAGGGCCTCCTTTCTTCTTCCCTTTGTCGACGCCCTCCTCCAGTTGCGCCTTTGCCTCGCCTCCGACTGACGGCCGCCTGCCCCGGGCCAAGGGGTCGGGCCTGCCCGCACTGGGACTGCCACTCGCGGGGCCTTCTCTTCTCCCCGAGGGCCTCCTTTCTTCTTCCCTTTGTCGACGCCCTCCTCCAGTTGCGCCTTTGCCTCGCCTCCGACTGACGGCCGCCTGCCCCGGGCCAAGGGGTCGGGCCTGCCCGCACTGCGTCTTCCCCAGGCCCGGCTGGCCTCCGCAAGCCCCGGGTGCCAGGCCCGCTCGCCTCTCGCCCCGGCTGTCTAGACGCGGGCTGCCGCGCGCGGCGATCGTAGAGAGGATCCCGCCAACAATGCAATTAATCACCGTAATCCCGTGAATGGGAACCAGATATTGCATGTGGGCGGGGAGGGGGAGGGGGAGAGGGGGGGCGCGGGAAACGGTCCCTGT